GGTAATATTTGGAGTCACAAGTTTTTGCCATGAATATTTTGTGGGTCAGAAGATAAAAAGTTTGGGAACCACTGGTTTAGCTGAAATCAGGTTTCACTTTTATTTGCTTGTTGTGTTTAAAATATTATCTAAAACATGCTAAGCTATCAAACTTACAAAACTCCAACAGCTTACATTTTGCTCTGATCGGATCCCAGGAAGCTGCTGCATTTCGTTTGGTGCGTGTCGGTAAAACTGCACTTTTACTGACAGGAAAATGTAATTTCTCTAAGACGAGGATCAATCAACCCTTCCGCATCTTCTTGGAAACATGGGCGCATCCTTGCATCACAACCTGTTAGTCTCTCTGTGTTATCGTCACTTCCTTGTCCCCCCCCCCCCCCCCACCCTCTCGTGACCTGCGAGAGTGAAAAAGACAAAGGGGGAGCGAAATGGAAGAAGAGGAGGAAGAAGGAAAAACTGAAACGTTTCACCGCTTTCGGAGAGACTCCATCAGCGTGGACCCCCTCCCCTCCCGCCCGTCCTAATCACATTACTCCAGAAAAATTTTACTTATGGCTAATGGAATTCGCTTAAAATTGAACCGCTGGGGCAAAAGTAGATTTGCATTGATCCAGATATGTATAGAGCCAAAGTCAGTCTATCTATCCTGTGAGGGAATTAAAGGCCGCTAAGCCTATAGAGCCAGACTGTATAATCCTATGTTTAAAGATCGATACTGGCTGGAACCCACGTGAGCGCTTTCATTGTGTTTGTTTTTGTGTGTCTGTCTGAATTCACACACACCTACACACATCCTTGTACTTCTATCCAGCTGAGRACTTTGTATTCACYTCCATTYATTTTTGTAACTGCACTTATGCCTAACCCAGATATTTTCTGTAACCTGAATCATTACTGGTCCATTCCCAATCCTAACCTGAACCAAAACTTATGTTCATGTTCCTCGTCTTGCTAACAGCACCGCTAACAAACAATAACTGAGCTCTAAGTGGTATTTCTTGCACAGAAACAGTGTTTTAACACTTTGTCTTAAAAACGCTGRCAAGTACTACATGTACAACTGATTAAATGTGAAATAAATACTACAGAAATATTATTAAAAGCAAAAGTAAGAGACTTTAACTCACTGTTGAGTTGTGTTAAGTTTTGAATTCTGCAAAGAGAGTGAGGACAGGGGAAATGTCCTCGCTTTGTTGGTTAAAAACATGTGACGGTCCTCACTCTGTAACAGAAACAAGTTCACACACTTTATTATATTATAATATTTAATTAAAAAAAAACAATATTTAAAACGTATTGATAGATTATTGAAAATGATGCACTGACAGCTACAGTGCATCCGTTCATATTAAGTGCTGAAAGTCTGCCTTTTCAACCCAAAATCAGTTATTTATCCAAGGTGCACACTTTAAACAAAAAAAGCCACATTTTGCAGCCATTACTGAACCAGAACAATTTTCCAGAGCCACAGTCAGAACTGCAGAGTGTGACGACGGTTAAATTCAATGACAGACTTTGATTCTGCTGCAACTGGCACACATTTAAACTGAAATAGACAGGATGGAAGTCAGATGCAAAAACATTTATAAACTTGTGAACATTCCCTTTTTAGAATAAATCTTTAATTGATTTTATGTAAATTTCACAGATTTTTGCATGGATTCCGTAAACAGCAACAGAGAAGTTTTATTCTAGGTGAAAATGTGAACACAAGTTTTCTGAAAGTGCTTTCTTCCATTCCCACAAAATCTCATTGATTTCTTTCCTTTTTTTCAGGACATAAAAACGGCCGTTCTGAAAGTTGCATGTGGCCACGGCACCGTTATGGCAACAATTTACTCCATGGGGTTGTAATTGAATAACTTCCTCCTTTTAAAAGCAGTTGTACAGTTATTATCTTCTTAGGGCCCCATTTGTGTGGAGTGGCACTTAGAGCAGGATAGTTAAAAGGACTAATCTCATTTTTGGAATTCTTAGTCATCAGATTTGCCCACTGACGACCAATGTCACTGCTGCTGCGCCGCTGCCCGATCCAGCCGGCGTGATGATGATCGGATCGCTGTGAAGTCCTGACTGATGACTTCCTGTGTGTGTATGTGGGTGTGTGTTGTTTCTATATTGGCAGGCTCATCAATGAGGTCACTATCAAGTGAGTGCACAGCGACACTGTCAGTGTGTGAGGTCATTTAGCACATTCTCAGTGTCTGCATGGGGCGGGGGGACAGTGGAGACGCCGAGGGGGGGAGGGAAATATGGAGGAGATTGATGGACTGCCAGCAGGAATGTCTTTTCCACAGTTCGTCTGCGTCGCCTGGTTAGAACCTGGTGATTTGATTAGATTTGACCAGCTGTGTTCCTCTGGTTTCTTGTAGCATGAAAGGGAAAAATAGACGTTCCTGAAAAAGCTGCAAAGTTTCTCAATCAAACTGATGAAACTACAAACAGTTGCAGAAAATCATCAGATCTGATGGAGAACTCTTACAGTGATGCAAAAAAATTAGATAAAGCTCACTAACAGATGCAGGTCTTTGTCACTTTTGAAGCAAAACTTAAAAAATGAAATTAAAATAAAATACAGTTTAYACTGATTTGCATCAATTTAAAAGATCATTTAGGAAAGAATCAGTTCTGAAACAAAATGTTGTAAATTCTCTATTTAATTGTTATAATCTGCTGGAATAAACAAAGCAAGAGCAATGCTTAGTTTTCTGTGAAAGTTAAATGTCCTGCTTTTTCTTCTCACTGGTTTCTTTCATTATTTTTAAAGGGCCAATATTATGTGTTTCTCAGGCGTAAAGKTCAATTCTATACCATAATTAAGTAACTATGACACTATCCGTTGTTATTAAAATGCTGTTTATGTGTATAAATCAAAAATAAATTTAACTTCMCATCWTATCMGTTYCTAAACACCTTGAAATTGGCCTCTGTCTCTTTAAGAACCTCCTGCCGCTTCTGTCACGCCCATTTCTGCACGTCATCACAACAGCTTTATGCCGTTTACAACCTGGAGTGTCGTAGCCTACTTTGTTGTAATGATAATAAAAAAAGAAGTAACATTATTTTGGAAAATTGCAATTCAGGATAAAACTTAACCTTAACGTCGGACTGGAATATAYKTTTTCTGAAGAACCGAAGCGAGTAGAGAGATGACGTTTCAGCTGGTAAGATATCTTACAGTCATCCTCACATACACACATCAATGTTAAGATAATTTATTTATTACTATAACGTGGTGTAAGCTATGAATGCTAGTCGTTGATGACAGACGGACCAATCAACCGAACAAAAAACGTTGAGTTGTTTCTTCAGCTTACCTGGTCAGACGACAGCAGTGTTTCTGTTCTGRGTGTTGGATTTGCACAAAGTGTTTTAGCTTAGCTTCCCTCACAGTCGAGCTGGTGCACTACATACATCACRGCCAAACATGAGCAACTGGAACCCAATCATTTTACACTTCAACAGAGTCCACGTCTCCAACCAAGAGTCCAGACCCTCTGAGTGAACCACAGTGTAGGACAAGACGCTGGTTTTAACCAGGCTGTAGAAAAACAAACATGTCTGAAACAAGACTAGCACCTTTTGTGCAGCTGTTCCATGTATATATAACTATGGAACTCATTACCACCCCACGTTAGAAACATAAAGTCATTCTCAAATTTTAAAACCGAACTCAAAACACACCTTTTTAGATCTGCCTTTTCCACATGACACAATTGGTTTTGCCTGATTTTTTTTACATAGATCTTACATGGATTTTATATAGATGCATTGTTTTTATTTTTATCTGATTTTATTGTTGCATTTTTCTGTTACTTTTACTCTTTGTATGGTGTCCTTGAGTGTCAGAAAGGCGCCTTTGAAATAAAATGTATTATTATTATTATTATTATTATATCTCGCATGATCTCGCTGCAGCTAGCAATATATATTATGTAATTAACAATAAGAAAATCCTGAAAGCTCCATTGTAAATTCATGAAGATTCCTTGGCAGCTTCACATCTATCACACCAGATGTGCATCATTAAAGAAGTCAGACTTAGTGGATATTCAGACAGAAGGAGAATAATGACTGAGAAGAGCCCAGTTTGAAGATTAGTCAATGAGAAGCAAAACAAGACTATCATAAAAAACCAGAGCCGGCTCTTGGCATAGGCGAACTAGGCGGTCACCTAGAGCGCCATCTGCTGGAGGGGGCGCCAAACTCCAGAAGAAAAAAGTAATTATATGTAATCCCTGGTTGTAACTCTGCTCAGCGCCCCTTTCAATTAGCTTTGTCTTAAAAAACAATAATGAAGTTTAAAGGAAAAATAAACTACTCCACCCATAAAACATCCCCCCATGAAACAATCGCCCCCACCCTCTCTCTCTCTCTCTCTCTCTCATTGATTGATGTTGCACTGACTCGTCTTGCTCCGACACTCTGATGGGGGAGGGGCTAGTAGTGCCTCATTTGTGTTGACAAACTCAATAACAACAAGTCTGTATTTTGTTGTCCCATACACGTCAACCTCTTCGGACGTTTACCTGAATAAAAAACCTCAAAAATATGTAAATTTTGCAAAAAAAAAATCCATACAACTCGCACCCGGGGGGGAATAAATCTAAGTTTAGCATGGTACCTTACGCTGTCAAACTTGTTTTTAGGGGTTCAAATTGGGGTGGGTGGGACATAGTTCGGGGTGGGGGGGGTGCCCTTCAATTTGCCTAGGGCACCAAAGTGGCTAGAGCCAGCACTTCTTATGGGTTAGGTTTAGGGTAAGGGGTCAGGGTTAAACTACAGAAATGACCTGTAAATAAATGGAAGTCAGTGAAAAGTCCCCTTGAGTTTAGGAGAAACGTGTGCGTGTTTCCTAAAATCCTGGTTTTAAAAAGAATTGGATGCCACTTTGTATTGGAAACRGTCATCTTGCCTGACTCACATTTAATTTAAATTTACGCAGGTAACAGAAACAAACATGAACGTTCCTGAAACTCTCAGCTGCAGGTAGCATCTTCTCCCTCTCCACGAATGAGGATAAAGTGCTGCTGGACGCCCCCGACGGCGCAGCTAAAGGAATGAGCGCTGCTGACCATTCTTCCTCGGCTCTTTGGCAGCATCCACTCAGAGCTGTTGAAAGTGGAGAGGCGAGCTCGCCCTCTCCTCGGCCCGCATCCTCCGCCCTAATCCTGTTTGTCTCCGTTTACCAGGATTGAAGCAGAGGCCTCTCTGAATCCCACCACCCCCCCCTCACTGCCTGTTGTGCTTAAAAACATTTCCTGGAGCATATCTGTGCGCCCTCCTGCAGGACAACTCTTATTACTTACAAATTACAGCTCGTAACCCAGTTACCCACGCAGGGTTCAGTTCTAGAAATCCACAGTTTCCAGAGGATGGAGGCTCAGCCAAGGGCAAACCACGGCTGTGGGGATTGTCAACATTAATTTACGGTTCAAGAAGTACATTTTTTTTCTTTACAGTTTGGAAATCTGTCATACTTTTAGATCAAAATGTTACAAAGGTTGTGTGATTTTAACACTTAATGTGCTTGTTGTGACATCACTTTCACAAAAAAAACAATCAATTATTGTGTTGATGTCCTCCTCAGGGACAGCACCCAATAAAATGATTGACTAACTCCTTAAAGACACATCCTGAATGTGTGATCTGTTTGACCATCTCTGAGAAATTATGAATAAAGACACAGGATTTAAAGAAATATTTGATCAAAAACAAATATAAATTTGAATTTAAAGATGCTGTTTTGAATTAGATTTAGATTTAGCTACTTGTTTCATTGTTTAAAACACCCTATAAACACTTATTTTGTCTAAAATAAAAAGATGCAGTAAGCATAAATAAAATCCAACATGGTTCAGGCTGTATTTGTCTCCTCAGCAGTAACTCAGCCGTGCTGCACAGACTGTGTGACCACACACTTGGAGACGTCCATCAGCGTCGCCGCTGATCCTGCACCACAATACCTGGATGCTGCGCTGTTTTCTGAACAAACAAAGCGAGGACGGAGGCAGCTCGACTCCGCGGGCCCCAGATGCTCTCTGTGTGGACCGTTTTTACCCCCACCTCACTTATTATGAGTCGTTTCACCTTTTTTCAGTGAATTTTGGTACCGTGTCACAGAAACGGCTGCACCGATCAACCTGAAATTTGGCAGGAATGCAGATGAGTCCGACCTACACTGTGACAGTCAACGGTTTTATTTTAGACCCCATTTTTGAGGAGGGGGCTCCTTATATAAAGGGGTGTATGGACATACAAAAATGCTTATAGTTCAAAACTTATTCAACATAGGAGCTTCAGATTTTTTTTATTTTACTTGTTTGGGGGTTGTTTAGCTCGGATGAAGGTTATCCATTGGGCCCACTAATGAGCCCCCCACACCCCTGGACCCCCATCCAAGACAATAAATTTGCTCTGGTGAGTTCTAGTGCATTGGTGCTTTACGTATATGTGGGGGTCATATATGCTACCACTAATATGTATCTACTTATCTTTATACACTTATTTAATCGAATCCTGCAGAATTCAGAAATATCTGCTTGTGTTGTCCTAAWGTCACAATAATGATTGCATTCTTGCAAGACCAACTAAAAGTTTAGCAAAGAGTGTTTTTTTAACTATAAATATAAATAAATAATAATTATAATTATAAATATAGA